GGTAGGGCCAAGCCCTAAGCAGTTGTATTCACCAGATGAATCTTCCGCCCGAACATGGCGAGATACAGCACCACATGGAGCCACAGCCATAGGGGAGCTCTCTCCTCGTTGCCACAAGAATCGGGAGGAGGGAATCTAACAGCTAAAGAAGAAAAGGGAAAAAAAAAAAAGTGAAAAAGAAAAGAAAGAAGAATACACCTAAAACAGTTACAGGCTTCCCGTAGAAACGAGCGCCTGTCACGAACTCTGGGAGCTTTTTTTTTTTTTTTGTCCGTTGGTTTAGCATTTGTAGTGCCTTCACGGGCACTCACGGGGCGTGGTCCCACTAGCAAACAGGATAGGATCGAATGCCTGAGTTGGTTTAGCATTTGCAGTGCCTTGGCGGGCACTCACGAGGCGTGGTCCCACTAGCAAACAGGATAGGATCGAATGCCTGAAGCTGGACCTAATTGTGGAGAGGTGCAGGAAATTGAGATTGAACTGCTTTTCTGCACCTCTCCATAAAAAACATCCAGATTCATGAGCTCGATCCTATCCTCTTTGTTAGTGGGCCCTCGGCCATGGACTGGAGTCCTATTCCATCGGATCAAAGGGAAACGGAAAGTGAAAAATCCCAAGTAAAACTTAGGACCCTTCCTCGATTTATGCTCGTCATCTTTGTGCTGGGGCCATGCTCATTTCGGTGCAGCCATTTTCGGCCGCATGATGTGACGATCCTACGGTCGCGGCCTTGGGCGACTTTTCATTTTTTTTTCCCTTGAGGCTTCGGCCAAGATGTCTAGCTACAGCCAGGCTGGTCCATGGCCGAGATGTCTAGGCCACGACCTGGCTGAGCCACGGCCAGGATGTCTAGACTACAGCCGGGGTGGGTCACGGTGGAGATGTCTAGGCCATGCGTGAAAAGGAAAAAAAACAAAAGCTGCCTAAAATGACAAAAGTGCATATTTCAATCAGGCCTCATGTCTGAAACGACGACCAATGTTATTTTTGTCTTTTCGCACTGCGGCGGGGATGGACCTGCCCACAAGTGTTTTTCTTGCCTATTGGAAACGTGGGTTGTGACCCACGAGCCGTTGTGGCGTTGCCCCTTTTTTATAAAATGACCAGCCTCAACCCTTTTGTTTTTCACCTAGACCCATTTGGACCTGCTAGCAGGCACGGTAATACCAATTAGAGCAGCCTTACCTAGTGGATCCCTACGAGGCCACTCTATCTATTGGTGGCGACTCTGGCGAGTATCACCTGCTGAAAACCGGTCCATTGTCACATTATGAATCTTATGATATAGCGTTTAAGGGGCTCGTTCGACACTCCTCGGGGCCCGAAATTCCTCAAGCAAATCGTCGTTCCACTCATCCTCGGGGAAGAGTCGGAAAATAAAATATGAAAACATTTCCTCGGGGATTCCTCGAGGATTCCTCGGCGCTACAGCCATTTTGGCGATTTCCCCAAGGGACCTCCCGAGGTCCCTTGGAGGTCGAGCATCCGAAAGAATCGGGGCGTCGACGGCAGCTCCCTCGACGACATTTTTTGATCCCGTCTGGTCCATCGGTGGTCCTGCCTGCGTCTCCACGGACATGTTGGGTCGCCAAGGTTCGGCTTCACGGGGTTCATCCCCAACGGTTACCGTTTGCGGCCTGCCGACATCCCAAACATCCAGAAGGTGCCGTCTCGTGTCGTCGCGTCTGGGACGCCGCGGGAATTCTCCCAACGGTCGACAAATACAAATATTTCAGGCGGCACTGTCTCTCCGAATGACGCACTGTCATTCGTGACCGAAGACGAAACCTTCCGTTTGTTGGAACCGTCGTTTGCAGCACTGTACTTCGCTGTTATGTTGGCGCCCGCGTTGTCTTCCGTCTGCTGCCGTCGCCGTCTATTGTTTCATGGCTGACGTGTTCCGCAGGCTGCCGCTGCTGCTCCTGGTTGTCCTATTGCTGCTCCTCTTGGTTGTCTTCCACGTGTGTATCCTCAGGAATGTACCGCGGCGTCGAAGCAAAAGAAGGTCTTCGATGAAGGACGCCAGGACGGAGGCACGGCAGGCGATCGCCAGGTCCGGAGGGGAGCAGGTCAGCGGGAGGCGGTGCGGGGGAAGCCCGTCGACCGTTGGGAGGGCGTCCCAGCGGGTTGGGTATGAGGCATTGCCACCGCACTTGCAACCACTCCCCGGCTCATCAGATGAGGAGGAGGAGGAGAGACGGCCACGCACTGTGTCGTTGGGCAGCGGATCGACGCAGGAGTGGGCAGCTACGGAGCTATGCGGGACGGGCGGCGGCGTGTACGAGCAGTCGTTCACTGAACTCCTTCGCCCAGGCCTTAGCGGCGACGAAGGAGATGGTCGCGTCAACCTGCCGTTTGGTCTGTCCACCGGGCGGTCCTCAACTCCATCGCGCACAGTCCTCGTGCACCCCCACCCCGATGATGACGGCGGGCAATTGATGGTTGTCGACCTATCATCGAAGACGAGGGCGTTGGCGCATGATACGACGGGAGCGAACTCGAACTCGTCGACGCAGCAAGCACGGACGCCCTCTCTGTCCAGGGCCGCCCAGGCTCGGCCCCACTGGAAAGTGTAAATACTTTGCGTGCTCGGCCGTGGAGTGACGATTCTCGAACGACATATCCATCTTCCGGCGACGTGGCGAACGTTCTCTATTTCGCCACGACCTGTCCAGACCGTAGGAAGAGGAGGAAGGCGGATTGCGGGAAGGGGGGGGGTTAGGGTTAGAGACTTTTATACGGAGCATGGGGTGGGTATTGAAACGGCTTATGGGGGAGACATGGGTTTGTGGCAGCGTGGGTGGTTGTGTTCGGGGTAAGAGTAGATGAGTAGGCAGGTATCATGGGCGGCGGCAGGTTCATTTCCGTGGGCCCGGTCGTCGTTCAACCATTGTTGTGTATTATTGTGTAGTTCCCCGCGATTTTTTTATGTTTTCTTTTATTTTCTTTTCGTTTATTGGGTCTTGCCATGTTAATGTTTTGTCTATCGACCGGACAAACAGATGTGCAATGCTGGTAAACTGAACGTCCTTCCGATTACTGATCTTGATGATCTTCACAGCCATGCGTTGTCGTTTTTTCCATCGATCCTTCTGTTTTTATAAAGCGTATGTGAGGCGGGGTTGGTTTGTTCTCATATTGAATGTTGATCATTGATGGCGAGAAAGTGATGCATTCAACTATGTTTTCATCTTTCTAGTTATCGAACATCGAATCCATGCATTCGTCTTCCTTTCCATTATTCCAAGAACTTATTGTAATGTGAGCGGGGATTGGAAATGCAAAAAAATGGGAATGGCAAAGGTCGATGCAGACAAAGTGATAGACATTCTTCCGAACCACGGACAAAACAATTGTGGCGCACCATTGCAAACGCATGCAATCCGAGTTCCCGCGAACACAAAAACGAAAGAAAAGATGAAGGAACGCAATTTTGCGCACACCAATATAAGCAAAGGACACTCGGTCGTCAAAAGGCGAAAAGCCTTTGAAGGCAAACGCATTTCCATTTCGCAACAAGATGGATGTCCTCAACCCCTCCCCTCCTCCCCCCCCCCCAATCGACATAACCGTACCCATCATGCACCGACATCACAATCAGTATCTCACCGAATGGCACGTCCAACCGCGCCACGCGGACTCCGCCAACGACGACATCCACAACCAGCAATTAAACTACCGCACCCAACACTGCGTATAACCGCGCACAGTGTTGGGAATAGAACAAGTAAAACAAAAAAATAAAACGAGCCCCGAAAAACAGAACTTGTCACCACACACATGAAGACACCTACGCGCATTGCCGCGAGAGACACGTCATGCACTTCTCGCCACAATGACGCTACCACGGGTCGACTACTGCACAACAAAACGGAAGATGACTCCGTGAAAAACGGCGACGTGGATTACACCCGGATGATGCAGACTGCGCCTGACGACAACAATACAGCACATCCCGATGGCAGCAGACTTGAGGGCATCATCATCGTCAAGACACGGCACCGTCAGTGGATGTGGGAAGCGGATCTCCCCTTCCTTCTCGCCACGGGATCCCTTCGATGCTTCCCCACTTCACAAAGCTCCGTTCTTCTGCCTCATTACGGTCACAGCGGGGTCTCCACCTGCACGCACGATCATCCTCACTGCGCACTCATCCACTCCGCCAGTGCGTCCCTCAATATCAGCGCGTCCCCCGTTGATGACTCCATGTCCCACAGCAGATTGTTGTCAAACGGGACGCTTGCATCGATGAGTATGTTGTGGAGGATGCAGACGGCGACAAATTGCTACGGCAAGGTCTCCATGTTGCACGTGTGGGTGCGGAGGAACAACCTCCACATCCCCTTCGGTCTGCCAAACGCCCTCTCCACTGCTCCCCTACCGTCTTCTGTTTGTTGTCGAAGCGTGCCTCCGACGGGTGCTGCGCGAGACTGCCGTAAGGGACGGCTAATCGTTATCGCCGAGCAAGTAGCCATTAGTCCGCACACCGAAAGGCAGCATCACAGGTGGCCCAGTGAAAAGTTGTCCCTCCTCCGCGCGCGCCCACAAACTGGACAGGTTCAGCATCCTCATGTCATGCACACTGCGCAGGTAACCGACGAAGACGTCCAGCACACGCAAGTTCATGTCGACGACCACTTGCGCCTGCACGGAGAATCGACGTTTCCTGTCGCAGTAGTCCTCCCCGTTGGCATTGGCGGGCTTGTCGATGTAGATGTGGGTGCAGTCGATGCACCCATGGCAGTTTGGAAAACCCTTGTCTGCGAACGCGCACAAGACGACCACCTTCTGCAAACCTGTGGGCCAGGATATCTTATCGGGGTATGCAGTAAGCAATGCCGCAGTGACGTCCCGCACCGCCGTGATGCCGGAAGACCTGCCAATGCCGAAGCTACACGTCCCGCTGTTGTATTCTGCCCCGCCGCCCACCTATACAGAGCGTAGGCGATGACGTGGTCCGGCTGCAAGGGTACTCTGTAGAACGTCACACGGCGTTGCAGGAGTGGGGAAAGAGTCTCCGCGATCTCGCGGAAAACACGCGGCGACATTCGAAGCTTGTCCTTGCAGTAGTCATCTGTCGCGTCATCACATTGCCGCAGATCCTCCCACGTACCTCCCGTCCTCCGCTTCATCCACCACCTTGGAGTCGCCCATGGAAACGCGCCACACCCCATCGCGTAGCAGACCTGCAGCACCGCGTCGGAAATGGCACCGACGTCCAAGCACTGGCCACTCGTCGGCAGCACCGACAGCTTGTGGCGTGCACGAACAGCCGCTTTGAACTTCCCCTCGCTGCTCGCCATTTGGCAACCGAAAGGGACGACATTCACCGTCACAGCGACAGCTGTCCTCTCTACCGTCGTCAGACCGTCACGCCTGACCTCACCGTCAATATCCATCCCCGACGCCGCTTCCAAGGACATCGCGTCAATAACAACACACGACTGCAGAAACGCCGCCACGTGGAAGAACACAGCGCCGCCTCTGCAGACAACCTTGGACGCCACGCACTGTACGACGGTCGTGTGCCCGCGACGATGGTGAGAAGTCGATGTCGTCTCCGGTTCTGCGCAAGCGTAGACCTGCGTACTCTTCGACGACAACCGCCGGCCACCATCGTCACTTATGCGAACGCCCCGAACACCAAACACTGATGCAATCGGGTGTGAAACGTGCGTCCATCACGCACCGCCAATCGCAGAGCAAGATTTCGAATTTCGAATTTTGAACTGTGGCCGTCCGCGCCATTTCCAATGGCCCCTTTTTTAAATTCTTTTTTTTGGGGGGGGGGGTCCCGCCGTGATTCGAATTCGCAACGGCCAACAGAGGTGGACCAACGTCGTCCGCACGGACACAACTCGCTGGACCACCCTCGCCCGCTCCCCCGCATCCACTTGTGGATATATACATCTGGCCGCAGGAGCCCCGAGGAATCGTCCTCGGGGGACAACTCCGAGGATGAGTGGAACGAAGGCAGGAATTTCCTCGGGCGACTCCAAGGAATCGTCCTCGGGGCCCGAGGACGGCCCGAGGAGTGTCGAACGAGCCCCTAAGAACAGCAAAGACTGAAATGATGAGCTGGATGCAGTTCAAAGAATGCATCTTCACCCAATCCATTGGGCGTCTGACGAAAACCTTTAAGCCCTAGTACCCCAAAGCCAAGAAAAGAACATCCCCCCCTCCAAAAAAAACGATGTTCTCCTAAACATGAATTCAAACTGTAGCTATAGGAACTCTGGTGCACAATACACTTTGTCGCGCGATGGAAAGAGTCCGAAAGACCAGCCTCAGCCTACTCGGACCGGATTGATATTAGAAAAAAAAAGAAAAAAAAAGGACCAGAGTGATATAAGCACCACCCTCCAGTAGGATTGTTGCTGGTTGCCCCGATCTATTGGTGCAGTGGCTGCACAAGCTCACACGAACCTTGCCCGGCCATGCACAAGTGCATCAAACCACCGGTGTGATGCACCAACAATGAAAAAGGCTCTGCTGCTTCTGCACGCATTCCACACTTTCACATACACCAACAATGTGGCACAAGGCAGCAAATCTTGTTTTTTTTTTTTTTTTTTAGAGAACAATATTGTTTCTATCAGAGGAAGAGAGGGAGCAAGACCACCTCTTTTTTTTTTCCCCCTCTCCTTCGCCTATGAAGGAATCCAGGTTCATCACGCGCCGCCGAAGAGGCTGACTTTACGAACGGGCTTAGCTGAGTCGGTAGCCCCAGGAACTGTTCAAATACGCAGACCCAAGTTCGAATCCAGATACAATCACATGACCAGAATCAAATCATTCTGAGTTACATGGGCCCGTCGGTTCAATGATGATATCTCAAGGCCATCACTCTTCCAAGTTTAAAAAAAAAAAAAAAGGCTGACTTTGCTACAAAGGCAGCAGCAAATGTTGTTTATCCTGCACAGAGGAAGCAAAGAGCAGTTGCCTAAATAGGAAATCAGGGTCAGCAACTGCTGAAAAAGTTGCCAAAAACGTGATCCCAAACAATCTGAAAGCCCCGCAAGTCCATTTTTCCGGCAACACACAGCAGAGAATGGGACTGGCTCCAGTACACACCGTGCTGAATGTATCTCGACCTGAAGCCAGATACATTGAATCCGTCCAAACGCATCTGGTCGACCTGCCAGTCCAAATACCTATGGAATGTTGAGTAGTGGAGCGACGCCTGATGAGTAGCACCTTCTCCAGAGACCCAAAAAAAAGAGAAAAAAAAAACAACGAGAAAACAAACACTCCTGCACACGACGGACTCTGACAAGGCAAATCCGCAGCGTACTCACACTACCACAATCTTAAATGTACCTGACCAGAATTATTACAATCCTACTTGGACGTATCTGACCGCAATTATTCCAGAAAATTGGCAGAAATCACTAAAAACTAATAAAAAGTAATAAAAACTTAAAAAGGTTCCACCAGTGTGAGTACAGCCTGGCCGTGGTCCCATTAGCAAGAGAGCATCGGATTGAATGGCCGAATCTGGACGTGTCTGAGGACAGGAGCAGGAAATCGAGATAGAACTGCTTTTCTGGATCTCTGGGAACAACATGGCCAGATTCAGGATTTCTATCCGATCCTCTTTGCTAGTGGGACCACGCCCCCCGAGATCAACCTCTTCCTCCCCGTCAATGATGTCCCGTCCAGCAAAGCACGCTGATCTTTTTTTTTTTTCCCTTTTTTTTTTTT